AATGACAGAAGCACGTCAGAAGCAAAAGCACATTTGATTAATCCTTTTGAAATATTAATTGAAATAACATTGTAGGATGCATATCGCAAACATTTCATGCATATGATCGGGTCCTATCTCTCAAAAAAAAGAAGAGAAAGAAAAAAATGAAAAATAAAAAGAATAATGCCTGCTAGGAGATTCTTAGGCAAAAATTAGGATAGCCCGCTAGATCGAAAACCCACAAAGGGCAGTCTAGGCAAAAGTTAGGGCATTCATAAAAAAGGAAAAAAGTCCACTAAGATATCCTAGGCAAAAATTAAGGCAGTCCACTAGATCGAAAACCCCAAAAGGGCAGTCTAAGCAAAAGTTAGGGCTAAACCAAAAAATGAATAAAAGAGTAGGACTCATCAGCATATTCATGAAAATCCAGTAGGAGAATGCCGATTACTTCTCTAGATACATCAAATAAAAGGATAGATTGCATTTAGGACATCTACACACCAATAGTCGCACAATACGACTCTATCAAAAAAAAAAAATATATATATATATATATATAAATAAAAATAAATAAATAAATAATCTCTCTAAGTAAATAAACAAAAAATAATACTCATACATATAAGGAGACTAGCTTCATGTTTGTGATTGAAAACAGGAAGCGCCAAAAACATGTTTCCAAATAATGCTCTCCCTCAAGAAAGCAGAGCAAGTGGCCACCAATAATTAAGTGACTCAGAGCAAAATAAGAGCTTCCAGAAGTTAAAGCTCCAACCGCTATCCTTCTACCCAGAAAAGAAAGCACAAAGAAAATAAGTCTCCAAACATTGCTCTCCCTCAAGAAAGAAGAGCAAGTTGTCATCATGAAATAGCTTAGAAGAAATAAGAAACTTCCAGAAGCCAAAGCTCCAACCATTCTCCTTCTACCCCAAGCTGACAGAAAGGCTTGAATATCCCCAAGCAGATTCTTGTCTACTCCAGAGGCAACACAAAAATTACTCCACGACTCAACATCGCCACTACATGAGTCATCGAGTACACTCGCCCAAAGTCTTCTCCACACTCCCCAATGGAGAACAAAGGCTTCAAGAGCCCATCATCATCAACAGTCAAAAGAGTCCAATCTCCATACCATCAAGGGCTCAACAAAAAGAGAAAAAAGAAGAAAAATCTTGCATCCCCAGCAGATATCCAAAAGAAAGGGGCGCAACAGAGAAGGCCGAATAAAAATCCCTAAGTGGATCTCCCCAGAAAAGTCTACAAAAAGAATGAATAAGAAATTCTCATCCCTCAGTAGAATAAGAGTTTCACAAGGACGACTCTCATCAATCAAGGAGCCAAGACTCCATTCCCCATAAAAGAAAAAAAAATCAGATCCCTAGGAAGTCGATAATCCCCTGGTGGATCACCAAAGAAAACATTATCCCCCGCGGATCCACAAAAAGAGAAAAAAGTCTGCGTGCATAAAAGAAACAAAAAAGTAAAAAGGCACATGCATTATCCCCATAAAAAAGCCAAATTTCAAAATCACGATAAAAAAAGAGATAAATCGCGGAAAAATGTGAAATAAAATCCTAACTTTTAGGTAAATAGAATGCCCATTCCCCAATGAAATAAAAGCATCGCAAAACCAACTTACACCAGTACCTAACAAGGAGTAAAAACCCCAAGGGGCAAACCAAAATCAGATTCCCGAGAATCCCTAGTGGATCATTAAAAAGAGAAAAATCATCCTCAGTTAGCCTACGACAAAGGCAAATTTCAAACTCACATCCCTAGATGGGTCATTTGCCTATACGTAGGCAAGATCTGGCAAATAAAGAGCCAACATCCCCAGAATGCGACATCAGCCTATTCAGAGGCAAAACAACGCAAGCAAGAAACTTTCACCTCTATTTGAAACATCTACTTACTCAGAGGCACTATCAACAAATCCTCAAATGGATATCCACCTACTCAAGAGGCACCATCAAACCCAACAAATCCTCAGTAAATTCCTGCCTACTTCAGAGGCATTTAACAAAGAATCCCCAACAATCAACAAGCTGGATGACTATTGGAAAAAACCAAAAATCAAAGAATCCCTGGCACACCGGATGACTGCAAAAAGTCAAAAACATTTATCAAAACAAGAATCACTCCCCATGGAATCGGTGCATGAGCCAGAGCAGTAAGCCGCCACCACAACTTCGGGACAAGGAAGGTCCCGAAGACAAAGACCTGCACATAGGCAAGATCATTGTGCATGAGCCAAAGCAATAAGTCGCAGCGGTCCTACAAAGTGGACTTCATAACCAGACAGGGGTTCGTACTCGTCAAACCAGATGGAGGTGCATACTCATCAAGCCTTACAAAAGGGGGCTTAAACCGGACGGGGGTTTGTACTCGTCAAACCAGATGGGGGTGCGTACTCATTAAGCCTTAGAAAAGGGGGCTTAAACTGGACGGGGGTTTGTACTCGTCAAACCAGATGGGGGTGCGTACTCATTAGGCCTTACAAAAGGGGGCTTAAACCAGATGAGGGTTCATACTCATCAACCAAAGGGGTTAGCTACCGCATCAAAGGAGCATCCCGGAGGATCACATTTAATGTCCAGAAGGTCGGCTACCACAACTAGGAAAACAACCGAAGGACAATCGGGCAAGAGGGTTAACTCCTTCACCCTCCAGCCGATCTTTTTTGGCATGTTGAGCCAACAGTCGGCTAGTCAGGTGAAGGGGGGCAGCTGTAGACCCAAAATCTTGCCCGAACTCAAAATAAAGAGCAGAAGGCTTCCATTCGAAGATGGGCAAGGCCTAAAAGGTCCTTAAAATTGATCAATAGGCCCCATATTAGAATAAGAAGTATTTTTGTACAAGAAAAAAAAAAGAAATTCCACTCAAACCAATGGCGAGACCGCCGTCCCATTTGGCGAGACAGCGGTCCCGACCTTGTCAGGCGAGACGGCGGTTCCGACCTGACAGGTGCAAATTCCTATAAAAGGGGGGGGGGACTTTCTCACTCTTTACACACAATTATACCACCTTCACTTCTGTACTTCTCTCAAATTACTCTCCTAGGACCCCTTTGAAGCATTTCCAGATTTTCTTAGAGTTCTTAGAAAGTGTTCTAGAGTGTTGCGAGAAAAAGCGATCATCATTGTAAAGTGTGGGGATTGCCAAAAAGCACCCTCTTTCAAAGAACTTACTATAAAAGCTTGCTTCGAAGGTTCCTACATACTCCCTTCTCTATTTATTGCTTTCTAGATAATATCATTGTGCATTAGTCATTTAGGGTCATGTAGTCAATAACTTAATTTCTGTAATGAATAAATAAGGGTAAAAACGCAATTTTATAGTTATTATTTCTTTACAAAAATGGTCCATCATAGGGAGCTCGAAAGGGGGGTCGTAGGGAAGCTAATACATTCCCTACACGTAACTAACTCCCTTACCTAACTCTGGTTGTAATGACCAAAGTTGGTTTTTTAAAAAACTATTGCCTTCTTTTCCTTTTCCAATGTTTCTGGTAAAAACATTAGCGGCGACTCCTCGAACCTTTCGAAAACCTCGCTTGTAGGTCTAGTCCAGTTATCGGACAACCTAAAAAGCGTTGAACCACATTTTAAAAAACGCAAGTCGAAAGAAACCATTGTGTCGCTCCGACCGCCTCTTTTGATGATGACGACAATGTATTGGAGGGTTAGGTGAAGTTCTTCATTTTTCTGGCATAGCTGTTTTTGTTCGTTGCGAGCCCTCTCGGCCTCTAGTCGGGCTTCCTCATTATGCTTCTATAGCTGCTTTAGCATAAACATCATCCTCTACATTATGAGATTTTTGCCTTCTTCTACTGGTTGGGAATTTGCTCGGATACTGGGCATGGCATTTTTGCTTTAGATAATGGGAAAATAGTTTTTACCGGATTTCCACAAACGACACCAATTTTTCCTACTCAAAAGGTTACCCCTTTGCCTAATTGCATTACTAAAAACTTACCCCTTAGTCCTAACCCTAATTCCTCTTTATAATTGTCTCTGACCTAGGGTTTGGGCTTCCTTTCCCGTTATCCACGCTTGGTTGTTGATTCTTATCCAGATTTTTAGATTATTGGCAAATTTTTAAGCTAGATTCTCATGGTATAACAAAGTTCAAGTACCCTCGTCACATGTCCAATCACTAAGGTGAGTAACGTGTCGACACTAGAAATAGTTATTTAAAAAGAGCATTAAAAATTACCTGTTATTGTGAAAATAATAAAATTTAATTCTCATTCTTATTGTATTCATTAATAATTACATTCACCGTCTTTTTATTTATTTTACTTTATTTTTGTGCATTGCAATTATATTGAGTTTTATTATTATTTTCATCTCTTTTTCCTCCTATTTTGTTTTTCCAATCCAAGTAAACCATTAAATTTTTTGTTCAACCAGCCTTCGGTTCTGTTAAGGTTCCAACATAAAACCAATTGATATTTAAACCATACCAAATGATATGAGGTAGGCGATGTGAGACTTTTAACATACCCCCTCCAACGAAGCCTGCCGGATCAGGCAAAGGGTACTTTTGACCCAACTAAAGGGTAACTTTTGGCTCATGACAATAACCGAAAAAATGTTAGGCTTTGGCCCTGATACCATGTTAAGGTTCCAACATATAACCAATTGACAATATGTGGAGTAGCCTAACATGTATTTAAATCATACCAAATGATATGAGGTAGGCGATGTGAGACTTTCAACCGGTTCAATTACTAAAACTATTTTGTTTCTTGGATATATGCTAGCCAATAATAGTGCTTTACACAAAAGAAAAACAAAATTGTATTGATGCAATATAAAAAAGAGTACAATATTGCATTTGCATATCAATATAACACTTAGGCAATGCCACAAAAATACAGAAAAGATGGGAAGAACGTATTTGACGATTTAATATTCAACACTCGGTTATTGCAACGACCAAACAATGCAAAATTTCCTTCTCGGTGAATCCAGCAGAACTATGGTGATTGCTAGATTCTACTTTAGTGACACCATTCACTTGGCAAGCTGGTTTCGGATGAGTTTTGTGGCAGCAATCATGTTTGTGAGGGCTGGATTCACCTCATTGTACTTACGGGTCTTGAGCCCACAATCAGGGTTGACCCACAAAATGTTTCGCTCAAGCACTGCCAGCATCTTGTTGATCCTATCAGCAATTTCTTCAGTTGGTGGTATTCTTGGGGAGTGAATGTCGTACACTCCAGGCCCAATTCCAGCTCCATACTTAACTCCTTCGCGGAACACTGACAGTAGCTTTTCATCAGAGCGAGAGTTCTCAATGGTGATCACATCAGCATCCATATCAATAATTGAGTGGATGATGTCATTGAAGTTAGAGTAGCACATGTGGGTGTGGATCTGTCAAATTTCAAGAATACACGAAAAGTATGCAATTTCATTATTTTTATGTAAATGCAGAAGAAAATAAATTCATTCTAACCCATTGATTTGTAGTCCAGAAGTACCTGAGTTGTATCCTGCACACCAACATTGGTGATCCTGAAGGAATGAACAGCCCAGTCCAAGTAGCTAGCTTGCTCTGACTTTCTCAATGGTAACCCCTCCCTCAAAGCAGCCTCATCAATTTGGATAACAGTAATACCAGCCTTCTCAAGATCTTCTACTTCGTCCTTGATAGCCAAAGCAATCTGATAGGTAGTCTCAGACCTGTAGAGAGGTTTAATTGACACCATGTTAAAAATAACAATAGGGTAAATTCAGATTAAGGCATATTATTACTCTTTTCAATGTGTATTTAGTTTTGAGTTTGTACCTAGGCTGGTCATTTCGAACAAAGGACCAGTTGAGAATAGTGACGGGGCCAGTAAGCATTCCCTTCATTGGGCGTTTAGTCATGCTCTGAGCAGTGGATGACCAGAAGACAGTCATTGCCTTGGGGCGACTCACATCACCATAGATAATTGGTGGCTTCACACAACGTGATCCATAAGATTGCACCCACCCATTAACGGTAAAGGCAAAGCCTGATAACTGCTCACCAAAGTACTCGACCATATCATTCCTCTGAAACGAAAGGCAAACCATTAGCAAAGTACAACTGGGAATTGGCAATATACAAGGAGCAGAAGATCTGTCAAGAGTATGTTGTTCTTCAAAATGAATAAAGTGGATAAAGATCTATCAAAATAGTTTGAGTGTAATAGATCACTATTATTTTCTATTTTAGCATGTCAAGATTTAGTTGTTATGTGAGGATTGAAGCTGACCTCAGGCTCCCCGTGTACCAGGACATCAATATCAAGCTGCTCTTGGAGTTCAACAACTTTGCGGATTTCCTCTTTAATTGCATTAACATACTCCTCCTCGGAGATCCTGGAGAAGAAAAAAAAAAAAAACAAATAGTCAGTAAAAGCCACATGTAAAAGAAAACAACCCAACCTAATGACTCTAGGAATATCTTACTTTCCAGCCTTGTATTCACGACGCACCCTCCTCAGTTCAACAGTCTGAGGGAAGGATCCAATAGTGGTAGTTGGGAGGATTGGAAGGTTGAGCTTCTTTTTTTGAGCATCCAATCTATTGCTCACACTTGTGGCGCGGCGATGATCAGAACCCTTCAATGCAGCAGCCTGTGAAGAAAATAAAAGATGTCATGAATAACAAAAAATAAATCTCATAACAAATCTTGCTCAGTTGAGCAGAAAACCACAGAAATTAGCACTCACAGCCTTCTGAACAGACTCATTGGTCACTCTTGGAGAGGACTTTCTTGAAGCCTGAGCAGAAGCATTAGAAGAGAAAAAGCCCTGAAAACGAAATGATGAAAACAGTAATTCAGTGAATAATGTTGTGAAACAAAGATGAAAAAAAATTGAATATGCATTCTGTCACTGCTGATTTGCTAACATTACTAATTTTATGATACCTGCTATTCTTATTATGAAAATATCATACTTTCCCTCAAATTTCTTAATTTTATGTCAGTGGTAATGCTATGCTATTTTAACTTTAATATTGTTTTGATCTTTTTATCCTACAAGTACTCTTCCTGTTCTTATATTGACTGTTTCAAAATGCATAAGAATCTATTCGAAAATGAAAATTTCTTATCATGACAATATTTACAAAAGGTTAATGTTTCATGACAGTATCATATTTTTAAATTTAAAATATTGCTTATTTTTCTTCACATTTTACTGAAATTAAGATAACCATACAACTCTTTTGTCAACTAATAAATATCATCTATTTATTCAACACTCATTTTGTCTGTTGTAAGATATATATATATATATATATATATATAAAAAAAAAAAAAACAGAGTTTACCTCATCCTTTTGACCACCCAATGCCTTGGCCAATGCATTTACTTCAACAATTTTTTGGGCTGCAAATGCTAGCCATGATTTGATCTCATTATCCAACTTGGTCTCATTAACGAGGTCAACAGCAGTGTGAAGAAGAGAGCAGGACGTGGACACAACAAGATTATCTGCATTATAGTTTAGTTAATGGACGAATCAACTGAAGAGGTCTCCCAACATTTTTCATGAAGTGCAACAAGTACCTTTGCCAACGATGGCCTCAAGACTATTTAATGTCTCTAGTGAATTAGCAAGATTATTAGCCCAAATGTTCCTTCCATCAACCACTCCAGCAAACAAGTATTTTCCACTTGGAAATCCACCCTTGATTAGATCAAGAGTCTTAGTTCCACGGACTAGATCAAATCCGAATGCTGTGACTCCATTAAGCGATGTGAGGGTCTGGTATGCCTCGGCAGGAAGGTCAGCGAAGTAGGTCTCAATAAGAACCTTTAAGCCAGCTAAAGCAGATTCAAGTTCCGCATATGCTGTAGAGATTGCTTGCAACTTTTGAGAGTCAAGGTCTAAAACAAGGATAGGTTCATCAAATTGAATCCATGAAGCACCAGCTGCCTTAAGATCAGCCACAACTTCCCTGAGTTCATAGTCATAAGCAAGATTGAGAATTAACACAAATATAATCATGAAGCGCAAATAAAAAAACTGTACTATACACAACTTAAACTCTTACTTATAGACAGCTAGGACTTTTGGGAGGAGAGAAAGAAGACAAAAGGAATTATCAACACCCTTAGCAGGTTTTGAGAGCACCAAGTATGTTACAGGGCCGATGAGGACTGGAACTGTATCTACTCCAAGCTGGAAGAAAAATTAGACATTTTCAATGAAAATAAATGTATAGATAATAGCCACTCAAAAACATCATAATGACCCCCACACAAAACAACGAACATCACCTGAACGTTTCCTAATGAATGAGAGATAGAACAAGCGAGGAATCATAAAGATTTGCAAATAAGAAGATTAAGTGAATGGTCATAAATGCATACCGCCTTGGCCTCCTTGTACTCATTCACTGCCTTGTGGGAAGCATATGTGAAATTCATGTCAGGTCCCAATTCAGGGACAATAAAGTGGCTGGATCAGTGGACACAAATCAGATCAATAATCAAATCATTCCCATCAATACATCACAAATTACAATCAATACAAGAAAAACCTGAGCCACCACTTACTAGTTGGTGTCAAACCACTTGGTCATCTCCATAGCTGGCACAGACGCGTTTCCTCTTGCCATGGAGAAGAAGGTGTCAAAGCCGATCTCGCCGCCGGACCACCCGTATCTGGGTGGAACGGCGCCAAGCATGGCGGTGGTATCGAGCACCTGATCATAGTATGAGAAAGTGTTGCTGGGGATGTACTTGATCCCAGCATCAGTCATCTGTTTCCAGATGGATGCTCTGAGATCAGAAGCCACCTTCTGCAAATCCTCTGCACTGCTCTTCCCATCCCAGAATGACTCTAGAGCAAACTTCAGCTCTCTCTTGGGACCCATTCGAGGGTATCCAACAATATGGGATGCCATTGTTCTGCGACATCAAACCAAATTCAGTCTCCTATCTATGAGAAAGTATTCTCTTACACGAATCTTGTCTATAACAAATATTTCACATGATACATTCAGATACATAAAATTATTGATTAACCTTGCGCGTTGAAAGCGTGTAGGATTTAACTTAATAACATGGTTTTGCTCACATTTTTCCATATTTTTCTACAACTAATTAAAACCTTAGATTAGCTAACAAACTAGTACCAGTTTCATGGATCATTTACTTATCACTAATTGATGTAGATTAGGCCCAAATTCAACGTCAAAACCTCGAGAACCCACGTTTCATGTTTCATGAAAGATTACATTTACACGATGTTCGGTGGCAATGTTACATCCAACCACCAGAGAAATAGCATTGAAACATTATTTATTGTTCAGATAAAAAAACTCATGAAACTATAAGCAGCAATATACTAATCACTGGTAGGTGTAGGTTAGGTGTAAAGTTTCACGAAAGATCACGTTGTATCTAATAACGGGAAATAGAAAACGGCGTTTAATTGTTTCGAAAACATAACAATTCAGATCCACATTTAGATATACAAATTACAACGAGAAAGACTTAATGCATACAAATTACCGGTGTGGAGAATGAGAAAAAGGAATGGTTAGAGTAGTATTAGTAGTAATATGAAAAATGCAGTCAGATGAATATACAGACAGAAGGGAGATTATGAAGAGGAAGTGAGGGTGTTAAATTTAGTAAGGAAACTGGATGGGGTGAAAAGGGAAACGATGGAGGTTGATCAACGAACGAGAGTAAGAGAAGGACAAGAGGCGCTTGTTCGCTTGTTTGCGTGTGGTTATGGACCAGTTCTTTCTTTGTTTGTGGAGAAGCAAAAAAGAAAGAAGGCGCGAATGTAATGGAGTAGCCCGCGGAGTATTTATAGCAAGTTTTTGACCCACCAACCACACCTGTTCTCCAATGTCACACCCAGACACGACTGCTTTATTTTTACATGCACCCTGGTCTTAGGGGTAAATATGATTATTTTTCCAATAATTCTATTGAAAGATGATACAAATTCTAGAAAGATCTAGAATATAAAATCTTAGATATTATTAGAATTAGAAATTAGATATGAGTAATATCTAGAATCCTTAGAAGATTCTAGAAATGTTTGAAAGTAGAAGATAGATAATTCTAGAATTAAGAAAATCTAAAATTATGTAAAACTTCTAGAATGATGTAGAAAACATATGTATACTAGTAGAAAATATAACATAATTCTAGAAAAAGAAAAAGAAGAAAAAATGTGTAGAAATAGAATAGTGTAGAAACAATGAGATTAGTAGAAAATTCTAGAATCTTGTAAGTAAAGCCTATAAATAGACATGAAGAGAGTATTTGTATGTGTGAAAAATCTAATACAAGCTCATACATATCTTGTAACACTTCTAACATCAATTACTATCTTCCCTCATACAAACATTCTCCTATTTGTCTACCTCTTTCTAAAAACTATTTTCTACACAAATCTCACTACTAAACATCAAACTATCTTTCATATCCTTCCTAAAATACTAACAGTGGTACCAGAGCTACGTTCGGTCACCTACTGGGCGTAGAGAAAATTTTTTGACTACCTTTAAAAACCCAATCCCGCTCTACATTACTTCCAAATGAAAATTCCAACATATGGCCACTACCAACCAAACATCATCCATTCCAGTCCCTATTTTCAAGGGAGAAAATTATGATTTTTGGAGAGTCAAAATGAGGACATTTTTTTGTTCTCAAGATCTTTGGGACGTCATTGATGATGAATTCACTATTCCAAAAGACATCTCAACTCTTACAGCTGCCCAGAGGAAGAAGCTGAAGGAAAATAAATAGAAGGATTCAAGGACATTATTCACTTTTCAGCAAGCAATTGATGACACTATTTTTCCAAGAATAATGGGTGCCACAAGTGCAAAGGAAGCTTAAAATACAATTCAGGAGGAGTTTCAAGGAAGTGATGAGGTACGCAATATTAAACTCCATTATCTAAAAAGAGAATTTGAGTTAATAAGAATGAATGAATCTGAGACCATAAAAGACTACTATTCTAGAATAAAAGAAATAGTTAGTCAGATGAGAGCCTATGGACAAAATATTCTTGATAAGAAAATTATTGAGAAAATTCTAATTTCTATTCCCCAAAAATATGATGCAATTGCAACTGCAATTGAACAAACAAAAGATTTATCTACATTATCAGTGACACAACTAATAGGCTCTCTTGAAGCATATGAACAAAGATTGAAAAGGCGTGAAGAAGACTCAGTCAAAAATGCCTTTCAATCAAAACTAAAATTACGGTCTCAAAATGGAGGAAATAAAATTAATAGAGAACTTTCTAAGAATAAGGAAAATTCTAGAAATTTTTCCAAGACTATTCAAGGAAAATATCCTTCATGTGGCACTTGCAAAAAGACAAGTCACTTGGAAAAATATTGTTGGCTCAATGTCAATATTGTAAGAAATTTGGACATCTAGAGAAAATGTGTCGCAACAAAAATCATCAAGAAACAAATTTTGCCGAAGAACGGGACAGAGAACAACATCTCTTCTATGCTACGGGATGTTTTGATAATGAATCAAAAGGAAGATGGTACTTGGACAGCGGGTGTAGTAACCATATGGCGAATGATCCAAGCATCTTCAAAGAAATTGATAACTCCATCAAAGTTCAAGTACGATTGGGAAATGGCACCGTGGTAGAGTCAAAAGGAAAAGGAAGTGTTATGGTGGAGACCAAGAAAGGTATGAGACTTATCAATGATGTCTTACTAGTTCCCAATCTTAAAGAAAATCTCTTAAGTATTAGTCAAATGATGGAGAAAGGATATACTCTTCACTTCGAAAGAGATACATGCATTATCTATGATAAGAAAAATCTAGAGATTGACCAAGTAAAAATGGACAGGAGAAATAGAAGTTTTTTTATAAGCTTCAATCGAGGAACTAACATTGCCATGAAAGTAGAAGTTGATAACTCGTTGCTATGGCATCGTAGATTTGGTCACTTCAATACTCATGCCTTAAAGCTACTACATCAAAAAGACATGATGAGAGATCTACCAAGCCTTAAGGAGAGTAGCGAAGCTTGTGAAGGATGTCTTCTGGGAAAGCAACACAGATTACCATTTTCTACGGGAAATACTTGGAGAGCAAAAGACTTGTTGGAGTTAATCCACACAGATATTTGCGGACCGATGAGGACTCCATCGCTTAATAACAACAGGTACTTCATTCTTTTCATTGATGATTTTTCTAGAATGACTTGGGTCTACTTCATTAAAGCAAAATCAGAAGTCTTTGGAATATTAAAAAAATTTAAGGCCCTTATCGAAAAGCAAAGCAGAAAACAGATAAAGGTTCTCAGGAGCGATCGAGGCAAAGAGTACACCTCCCACGAATTTGATAAATTCTGTGAGGATGAAGGTATTGAGCGACAACTTACAGTCGCATATTCTCGACAACAAAATGGTGTCTCAGAGAGAAAAAATCGCACTGTCATGGATATGGCAAGATCAATGTTGAAGGAGAAAGGCTTGCCAAATACATTTTGGGCAGAAGCATTTTACACTGCTGTATATATACTCAATAGATGTCCAACTAAGGCATTTCAAAACAAGACTCCTATTGAATTTTGGAGTGGAAGAAAACCATCAGCTAAACACCTACGAATATTTGGATCAATTTGCTACATACATGTTCCCGATCAGAGGAGACATAAGCTTGAAGACAAAACTATAAGAGGAATATTCTTGGGATACATCCAACAATCAAAAGGCTATCGAGTCTACAACCTACAAACAAAGAAACTCGTCATCAGTCGAGATGTTGAGGTTGACAAAAATGCTTTTTGGAATTGGGAAGAAGAAAAAGTTGTTAGAAGCAACATCCTGGTTCCAGTACAACAACCTGAAGAAGAAACAGGAGATCCAGGTACGCTTTCTCAACCTCCACAAGAAAAAGAAGAATATACTTCACCAGAGTCTACACCAAGACATGTAAGATATTTGGTAGATATATATGAAACTTGTAACATGGCCATCATTGAACCTTCCTGCTATGAAGAAGCTTCAAAGCAAGAAGTATGGGTCAAGGCCATGGAAGAAGAAATCAAAATGATTGAGAAGAATAATACTTGGCAGCTTGTGGACTGTCCTCACGGAAAAGATATCATTGGAGTAAAATGGATATATAAAACTAAGCTCAACCCTGATGGAACCATACAAAAATATAAGGCAAGATTGGTCGCAAAAGGATACTCACAACAACCTGGGATCGATTACAATGAGACTTTTGCTCCAGTTGCTCGTCTGGATACAATTAGAGCTTTAATAGCCCTTGCTGCACAAAAAAGGTTGGAACATCCATCAACTAGATGTCAAATCCGCCTTTCTCAATGGAACACTTGAAGAAGAGATCTATGTTGAGCAACCACAAGGCTTCATCAACAAAGGCCATGAAGGAAAAGTACTAAGACTAAGAAAAGCTCTATATGGCCTGAAGCAAGCTCCTCGAGCATGGTATAGTAAGATTGATAAATATTTTATCGATCAAGGATTTAGGAGGAGCAAGAGTGAGCCAACATTTTATATCAAGACACAAGGTCAGTATAATCTCATTGTCTCCTTATATGTTGATGATCTCATCTATACAGGAAACAATAAGGAAATGATGAAAGAATTCAAAGAAGATATGATGAAAACATTCAAAATGACTGATCTTGGCTTGATGAACTACTTCCTCGGGATAGAGGTCATACAACAAAAAGAAGGAATATTTATCTTTCAGAAGAAATATACTGAAGCTCTACTAAAGAGATTCAAGATGTACGGATGTAAACCTGTCACTACTCCTTTGGTGGTAAACGAAAAGCTAAAGAGAGATGATGGAGCACTAGAAATAGATGTATCACGATACAGGAGTTTGATCGGAAGCCTTCTATATCTCACAGCTACACGACCAGACA